CCTCTGAGATGAGAGCTGATGCTTATTGAGCATTTCACGTGCTAAGTGGTTCACGGGTACTATCTCATCTAAACCTCCGAATAACCTTTTGCACATGTGGTAACTGAGGTAGTGAGAAGACAAGTAATGTATGGTGTAGGTGAAGCAGAAACACGTTACAACCTGGGCAGCTGAAGACCGAAGCCTGAGCTCAGCTTTATTCTTCTCTGTACGTCTGCCACTTTCCATCCTATGCTGTAGATGGGAAAAACTCAACAAATATTGGAGTGACCACTCTGTCAGAAGAACTGTCAGGTTCTGGGATGACACTGGTGCTCAAGTTGGATACGCTTACATTTTCAAAGAGAAAAGAAACCCTTAATCAACTGCCCCCACAAAGGTATTTATTATGGAGAGGGAAATGCTATGAAGGAGAAGTACAGCCTCGTGAGCAGGTAAGAAGAATTTGACCTGAGCTGGAGAAAAGAAAGAAGGTGAAGAGCTAGGAGCTGGTCAGGCCAGGTGGGGGCGGGGGACTGAGGGGAAGATACAACAGGAAGAGGAAGACCCTGAGGGGTCATGTGCATACTTGCTTTACTACCCTTATTTGGTTAGAGACCATTTTCTTTTTGATCTGTACCTGTAAGAGCCGGCATCAGCCAATTACAGCTGCCCACCTGTTTTGGTAAATACAATGCCATGGGAACCCAGCCTGGCTTTTCTGTTGACGTAGTCTCTATGGGTGCTTTTGCCATACAACGACACAAGAGTTTTGGTAGCAACCGTCTGGCCCACAAAGCCTAAAACCTCTATTCTCTGGTCCTGTGCAGGAAGTCTGCCAACCTCTGCCTTGTTGCAATATGCGCAGTTCATACGTGGGAGGCATTTGATAGATTTTTATGAATTGCATTTGTTTTTACTCTACTTCTATGCAATGTTCAATAGAACTATAATAAATACACAGAATAAAAGCAACCAGTCACAGAAACACCATATATTATACAATTCCATGTACATGAACCTACCAAAATGCGTAAATCTATACAGACAAAAAGTGGATTAGGGGTGGACCGGGGCTGGAGGAAGGAGAGTAGAGGGAGGAAAGGGGATTGTTAATGGGTAATAGGGTTTTATTTGGTGGGGATAAAACTGTTCTAAAATTGATAGTGGTGATGAATGTAACGCTCTGTAAATATACTAAAAAATCACTGAATTGTATGCTTTTGATAGAAGCGTTATACAGTATGTAAATTATATGTCAATAAAACTGTTATTGAAAGAAAAAAACAGAGCCAAGTAACTAAAGTGTGCTTTTGTTCTGGTGATGGGGATTTAGGTTTGATGCAGGGAAGAAGAATATACTTATTTTAGAGAGTCTAGTCAATTTTTTTAAGTCATTACAGCAGAGCAAACGACTTAAGTCTGACTTGCCTAGACCCTGAGATAGGAAATGTTCGAAAATGCATTGCCTATTATAAGAAGCACTAAAAAACTAATGCTAAAAGACAAATTTTCTGTTACTCCTGAGCTCTAGAAAAATTGCTATGTGGGTTTTATCAGAGAGTTCACTGACAAAATGAAAGCCAGAATCCTTGAAGACAGTTTTATAGAAATTACAATGATGACTGTTTCTTATGTTGACTCTTAGTGAAAATCAAGGGCTCAGAAATGCTTTCAATTGTCTAAGCCAGTGCTGAACAATAGAACTTTCTGGGATGATGAAAAGATTCTGAATCTGTAGTGCCCAGTAAGGTAGCTATCATCCTCATATGGTTATTAAACATTGGCAATGTGGCCAGTGCAACTGACTAGAATTAAAATTAAACTGTAATTTAATTGTATTCCATTTCACTAAGTTTAAATAGCCTCACCTAGCTAGTGTCTGCTATCCTGGACCAAGAAGGTCTAGAAAGTATGGAAAGTATGCAACACTGTCCACTGAGCCCTAAAAGTAACTGAGCACATCTCATTGCCCTAAAAAACTGACAACGATTGAGAATGGTTAAAAAATTCAATGCAAAACACACCTGTTTTGTACTCAGAATGGTCTAAATTAATCCACTAGTGATAGGAAGTTGACACAACCATGCGTTCTATTTGTCTGTAGTAATAGGATTATTATCGGTGAATCTTCCTCTGTCTGTCTCTGTGTCTGTCTGTCTCTCATCAGCATATTTCTGTTATTTGGGAAGCTATTCACTGAAAATATAATCTATTCACTGAAAATTCAACTTTAGTAATGTACCTTTTGAAAAAGTAAACTAAATAACATCTAGAGAATTCTCACTTAAAATCATCTTCAAGAATAACCTCTCCATTCCCACAAGAGCACCAAAACACAAAAAAATGTCAAAAGGCATAACTGGGTTATGTTCTGTTGTTATTTGGGAAGCTATTCACTGAAAATATAATCTATTCACTGAAAATTCAACTTTAGTAATGTACCTTTTGAAAAAATAAACTAAATAACATCTAGAAAATTCTCACTTAAAATCATCTTCAAGAATAACCTCTCCATTCCCACAAGAGCACCAAAACACAAAGAAATGTCAAAAGGCATAACTAGGTTATGTTCTGTTTTAATGAATCAGTATGACAAAAAAAGTCGAAAGAGAGAAGAGCGTTGAATGAGACTGAATCATAGAAACTGAATCAAATATTTCAGCTGGCAGGTCATAGTGGAATTTGGGTGCAGGAGGTGGCATCTAGTTTGTGCACTAGCAAGCTCTGATAAACAAGGAGATAGAAGGCAAATGTAATGGTGGAGGGTCATTTAGGAGAGGCTTCAAGGAGACTATGAATACCGTGTGGCATTAAACTTGAAGATAAGTTAATGGTCAACACATCATCTAGTCCACTTTGGAAGGAGGCAATTAGAAATGGACAACATATGTACAAAAGTCTTCCACAATAGTCTACTTCACAAAAGTAGAAACATACGAGCATTTTTGGGACTATAGTATATGTACGTTATAAATATTTAACTGATTCAACTTTAGTAATGTATCCTTTGGAAAAATAAACTAAATAACATCTAGAAAATTCTCCCTTGAACCATCAGACAGAGAAGTTATAAATAATCATGATTTTGAGGCTAAAACACCTAATTCATTTGATGTAATGTTGGCTAACAGGTAGGCATACACTAAACTAGCTGCTTACGCTTAAATTATATCAAATTTAAAACATCTTTGACATAGTGTGTCCTCATATTTCACACCATTGAGCCACGCAAAATTAAAATAAAGAATGTTAACTGGTTTAGCTGAATTACATGGCAATGCAAGCCAATCCATGAGTCATCACCTGACCAAAAGAATTCAGGACTGTTTACCAAGAGGGTGGCTTCCCGAAGAAGGGTATTTATAGCACAAGAGGATTTAATTTCTCCTTCTGAAATAAGATTTTATCAGTGACTGAGAATCTCAAACAGAGCATTGGGATCCTAAACCTACAAAGATGCCTAAAAACTTACAGTAATTTAAATTGAACTGTACGCTTCCATCTCTTTATAGTACCATTGCTTAGAGCATTTAGCTCATCATTTTACTTGATTTCTTTGGCTATCTGTACTCCCACCATGAATACAGAGATAAGGAAGTCATAAGTCTGGCAGCTAAGAGAGCACAGTGCTCTAGACCATGGGCTGTGCAGTCTGAGGGTGCAGGCTCTGGCACTCAGCACGTGTGACCATGGACAAACCCAAGCTTCAGCTTCTGCATTTGGAAAACAAGTATAATAATAATGTGCACTTCAAAGTGTGTTGTGAATAACTCATGAGAAGATGCGTATGAAGCCTGTAGCATCGTCACTGGCACAAACTAGGGGTTAGATAAATGTTAGCTGTTACAGTGCTAACTGTTAAACATTTTGAAAATTTGTAAATAAACGTAAGCATTTATTCCATTTTTGTTTTATGAAAATATAATAAATTATGTCACTTTTTTCTTAAATTAGATCCTCTTTGATAACTCCATTATAGAAAAAAATATACAAAATGTTTTCAAAATTAACATATGGAATTGTCATGCCTACACGCAGTTTTTGTGGGCACACAGTATTCAAAAGGCTCTGTTTCGTGTCCATTTTTATGTAGCACGGCTCAAGAAAGGAATACAGATAAAAAAGTGTATTGGGGATTAGCTCCAAAATGGCTGTGAATCAGAAGCATTTGTTACATTCCAACTCTCCAAACTGCCATAAAGAAGAATACCCATTCAAATATTCAAATATTAATTCATTCATTCATTGCATCCAGGTGCTGTTCTTGGTGTTTCCAATATTCAGTGAACAGAATGGGCAAAGATGTCTGCTCTCATAGAGCCTCCATTCCAACATGAAGTGACGTCCAGCTAACCTAAAGCATCTACTTAGTCATTCCCTCTTTTCACATCAAATAACACTGCCTCATTCAATCATGTCAGACTTCTATGTGCTAGTAAAGACCCTTGTATATATTTTTCTTTTTGATTTTATTCCTTTTACTCACCCTACCCTTCTGCAATAGAACCTGAATGTAATATTCCTCTTATAGATGAGGCAGACACTTAATAGTTATCATTAAAAGCTAAGCACAAAATTACAATAATGAAGCAGATTATTTTTACAACTAAATAGAGTGGCAATATTTAGCTTTATTCCTTGCTAATGAGAAATAAGTAGGAATGTGAAAACTTTTTTTTTTTGGCTATTGTAGACCAAAACACCCCCCAAGATAATGATTGACAGTTTTACATTCTTCCTTTCAGGCAGCTGAATATCCATGAAGTCCTAAAATAAATAATTTTCTCTTGAGAATAAATTTTGTTTGGATATGACTTTCTTTCAGCTAACTGCAAACACCATTAAGTTTATAAAATAAGAATTTTAAAGTTAACAGAAGTGACATTTATGAGAAAAGCATGAACTAAAATGCTGGAATAAAGAACGGAGATTTATTGGATTATCTCTAGCTGAAACGTAAGATGGACTGAACGCTTTAAAACTCTGCACGCACGTGTCTATTGACAGGTCCTTGTTACCTGGCTGCCATGAGATCCAGGAGATGCTGCCACCGGTCGTTGACCTTTCCGAGCTTGTATTCGATCTCAGAGGCTTTGCTTTCATGGCTGGCTCTAGCAAGTCGCTCTCCCATTTGTTGAAGCTGGATTTTGTTCTCTTGGGCAATAGCAATTTCTTCTTGATAATCCTGTGTAATAAGTAGCAATCATAGAGGTCAGAAAGCATATTCCTGATACTTTCAGCTTGGCTGTACTAGAAATGTGATAATTACAGTTTTCTAGCGCTTAGGAATAGTTTGGGCATGAGGAATACCCCGTGAATATCTGTCCATGTGTACAAGACTTAGTAGAACCTATTTCTCAGGTTTATAAATTATGTTTATAAATTATGTTTTCTAAAGAAACTGTCAGTTTTCTTGATCCTAGGATTTTTTTCTTAGTTCCTCTCTAGTGATGTTACCACTTTAAAAACAAAAACAAGAAACACAAAAGAAAACTAATATGCATAAATGATTCCCACTGAACTGGTAACTACACCCCAAAATAGTGAATATTATTTATCAGCAGATAATCTATATCATTACAAAGTGAAAATATTCTCTGTATTTTTAGCATAAAAGAAGCTTTTCCATGCAAGTTTGTTTTATATGAAGAAGGTAAAACATTTGTAATAGAGTGACAGGAACGTAATTATGAGCCAGACCATCTACCTACTAAAAGTACGCCTAAGCATTAGGAAGAGTGAAAACATATGTAGCCAGGCATCTCATACCTTCTTGAGCTTCTCTATCATTTCTTCAATGAGAATGTCTCCATTTTGGGAAACTTTGCTTTCCATCTGAGTCAACCATTCGCAAAGCTCCTTGTTCTTCTCACTGAAGACTGCCCATTCATTCAACCTCTCGCTTACTTGCTGCCGCCTTAGGGAGAGCTGAAAAGTTTAAAATGAGAGAAAATGCAAAAGGATAATCAGAGTGGAACTCATATCCTGGGGGAAATAGCCCATGCACTTGCTGGGCGGACCGATAGAAGCGATAGTGCCTGTCCTTAGGTATCATTCCCTGAGGTGCAGTCCAGGGACGCTGCTCTTTAGCATCGAGTTTTCACAAGTCTCTGCCATTAAGACAAGTGGGAGGTATTGAACCCTGTGCTTCCCTCCTGGAGAGCCATGTGCCTGTTCACTGCCGACACATTCTGAACAATCCAGCTGTACACTATAGTTGGTCCTGTGTAGATATAAAGAGGATTATTGTACTCTCACTAAAAAAAAGTTTTCTTTGAGGCAGAAAAATACAAAACAGCCAAAGAGTGAATTTACCTGGTATGGGGGTGAGGGTGGGGAGGGGCGGATGGATACTGATAGGAATGGAAAAGGCTAAGAAAACACAGATTCAAAAGTTTTGGGGACAAATTTCACCTATGCTTTGCTGTTCCAAGACAGCACTGATGATAAGAGCACATGGCTTCCTTCTCTGCCCTTTCCTCTAGGACTCTGCCGGCAGAGTGTACAGGATTCTGATCTGCTAGAATACTAAGATTTTGAATTTTCTGGTGGATATGACTTTTTTCTTTTCATTCACAGAGCATCAGAGTTAGGAGTGTGGCTGATAGTTAAAATTCTGGTTCAATGACGTCCAAGCTGAAGCTATATTTTCCTAATTGGAACCTCTCAAAGCAAACATTTTCCAAGAAAAGACTAGAAACTCCTGCCTTTGAGACTTATGATTAACAGGTCTTGCTATGTGTAGCTCCTCCCTTCTGCTTCCCCCCAATCTTGGCCATGCGCAGGAATGATTTCCAGGGCTTTTCTCAAAAACATCTGCAGGAAAGATGACCAACAGTTGAAAAATATTATATATTTCTTTGAGAGGTAGGTATTATTATCTCCATTCCAGAGACAAGGAAAGAGGTTAGGGACATTTGAGGCATTTGTTTATAGTCAATATGAGATAGGACCAGCAAAAGCTTGAGTCTTTGATAGAGGCTGTAATATAACATGATCAAATATCCAGAGGCAAGTGAGATTCAAAAACAGTCTTCATCATGCACTAATGATATGACCAGGGCCGGGTTATTCATCTTCTCCAAGTCTTACTTTCTTCATTTGTAAACTCATCTTTCATTGGTTCCAAAATTCATTAAACAAATGTTTATCGTTTACAGTGAACGAGTATCTACTATGCGCCAAGCATTGTCCTATGTACTGGAATACAGTAGGCTCATAATAGAACACAAACAATGATTTAAGAAAGTGACAGGTAAATACTAAAAACTTAACAAAAACAGGCCATTGATATACTGCTACTGCTATACATGACTACATGGCATCATTTGAGCTTTTCATTTTGTTTCCTCCTCGACCGTCCTCTATATTCAATATCTCCACTAAGTAGCTGGAATATGTGTATATCTAGTGTTTATCACACACCGTGGAAGTGTTGCTTTCATTTGCTTACTCAGAGCAAGAGCTCAAAGAGCAAGAGGTAGGCTATATGTACTGCAAATGTACCAAAAGCCTTTCGAAAGATTTAAATTCATAATTGGGAGAGCATTTTCCTTTTGGTTTGTAAAACTAATATTTAGGTCGTATGATAAGGGAACACTACCACCGTTTTCTTTGGGTTCGGCTGAAACCCTCAAATTATTTATCATCTTAGCACATATTTACATTTTCTGAAGGGTGTAAACACACTGCGTTGCCACCAGCTGACAAGTACCAGCTAAAACCTTCACAGAGTGAGGCAGCTGAACAGGAAATACATCCTTTTCTACTTCAAATATTTTTACCACGACAATTTGAAAAATACCGAGCAATTACAATGATGATATATTTATATCTCAATCAGAATTACAGATGCATCTAGAAACCAAAACAGAAATAAAAGCAAATATAAGCTATGGCTGGCTGCACACAGGCGCAATCAACCATTTGGGGAGTCTATTTGAAAATGCGATACTTTAACATGTTAACTCTGCTCTGCCACGTTTACTTACAGCACTTCTTCCTCGTTCTCATCTGAGTCCCAATTACTCCTGCCTTCCCATCAGCTGCTTTGACTGGAATATGAACAGATCCCTCACTCTTTACAGAGGGATACTGCCATGTTTATTTCAAGTTTGTAACTTTTAAAATGAGACATAGGCACAGGCTCATTTCCTTTTGTGGTTTCATACTTAAGAGAATTTCTCCGGAAACGCTAACTCAAGCACTAGTAACTGATCTACATGCCTCCTTACATTAATATCCTGGCACCTTCGGTATGACCATGACTAAACTCTCACCTGTTTAAATATTCTTATTAGATGGAAGGAATGTGAGATATGTACACTTTAGCTTCATGCCTTAAAAACACTATATATTCAGTCTGCTTCCTTTTTTACTTACGTTTGAGTCCACTCACAGGTATGAATCTCTTTATGGCATATCGTATGATCAACAGCAGCTTTCAAAATGTACTTCTAAATGCACTGTTGTCTCTCTGTATGTCTCTATATATCTAAGACTGGTGAGCAATTTTACAGCATAAATTTTTTTCCTTTTTTCTTTTTCCAGCTTTATTGATATATAATTGACATAACATTGTGTAAGTTTAAGGTGTACAATGTGATGATTTTGTACACATGTATACGGAGAAACGACTACCACCAGGTTAGTTAACATACCTATCACCTTACATAATTACCTGTTTTGTGTGGTTAGAACATTTAAGATCTACTTTTTAAGCAACTTTCAAGTCCATAGTACAGTCCGTGAATCAGAGTCACCACGCGGTAAGTTAGAGCCGCAGAATTTACTCATCTTGTAACTGGAAATTGGTGCCCTTTGTACCTCATGGTATTTCTACACAGTACTAGTTTTCTTAAATTGAAAAGTATTGCATAATCATAATCTTCTTAACTTCAAAATATTCAGAAACCTTGTCATTATTTTACATTTAGAGGAACATAAGTACAAAGATATAAAACAAATGTCCTAAAGGCTTGTCTAAATTATTAACAGTACATATGACCATTTAGCTTCTCTAAGCACTGTAGATAAAAATAAATGGTCTTCGTCCTTGAGGACTTCACAGTCTTGAAATCAAGTCACAAACATTAAAAAAAGAAGAGAGGAACAATGCACTGACCCATGACGGCACAGAACGCAAGAGAAATGGGACTTCAGAGAAGCAGAAAAATACTGAAGTCCGAGCATCGCAAACAATGACATCATAGGTGTTGTGGCATTTGAAAGAAGAAGATGGCTTAGAAAATGGAAGGGAAGGAATAAGTCAATCTAGACAGGAAGAATGGCCTGAGCAAGGTCTTGGAGCAGGGCAATTCAAGGCAGGCTTGGGAAGGAAATAGGAGTCAATATCTAAAGTGCGATCTCTCTGAAAGCTTTACCGACATCAGTTAGCCTGAGACATGGATCTAGTCCAATTCATTTCACCTAATATGTTGAAAAGTATTGAGTCAGCAAGTAGTGCTAGACGTGAACTTGTTTATACCCAGTGTTCTTCACCGTATAGATTCTTCTGGACTAATTTTAGTCTCAGCTCAACTGTAAACTTCATCATAGGGAAGTTTACTGCAGCTTGTAAAATTCACAATAATTACTGTGACTGACTCATTTAACAAATATGCATCACAGCTTATTATGTGCCAGGCAAGGCAACTGGGAACAGGAAGGGACATGACAGACATGGTCCCTGCTTCTTGGAGAGTATAATCTCCAGGCCATCGGTCAGAGCCTGTTCTTCACTTGTGGGCCTTCAGTCGATGTTATTCCTTTGGCCTTGAATGTCTTCTCATGACTTTTCCTTCAATCTTTTCCTTTCATTTCCAAATCAAAACCCAGTGTGGGATCTCTTTTAAGGTATTATACATACAGAAGATAATTAATAAATGAGTGAAGTGTGACTAAAAATGTCTCAAAGCATGAATTATTAAAAACCACCATGGTAAATCAACAGCAATGATAAATGTGCCATATACAAAACCAGTTCCACAGTATCTTCTAAAATTGCAAATAAAACAATGGTTTTTCACATGTTTAAAGTAAGAAAGAGACCACTAATATCTACCTAGCAAAACCATATCCGTGAACCACAAAACTTGATTCCTCTTTAAAATTTTGTGCCAGTCAGTGAAAGAATGAACAAAACAAATCCAGTTTGAATGCATCTTAAATACAGAAGGGTAAGAAATAATTATCTTCATCCGAAATATTATTGTAGTAATCACAGAGTTCTTCCTCTGTGCTCACTATGAGTTATGGGACGGGTCCAAATGTGGCTCAAGACATTTGACATTCCAATCCTCTGCCAGGTTTCCACCTTTCTGAGCTAATGCTGAGTGTAGCATTTATCTTACCTGATGGCATAGTTCTTCCCACTGCCTCTGCAGAAGCTCCACGCGTTCGTTCAGGATGGAGATATCATCGGCACTGATGTAGGTACAGAGGGTGTCCTTCAGTAGTGTCAGCTGTGCCAAGTCATCTGTCCAGCTCCCCACTGCATTTTCCAATTCCTGGATTAAAAAACAAAACAAAACAAAACAAAACAAATCTTGAATACCCACTGACATCCGTCATCAACAATTTCTGTAGTATATTCAGAATCCCTTCTTGATGCAATTACCTTTCCATCCCACTCTGTTCGAACATCTAACTTGGTATCTACTTATTTGCTTCCTACACACCTTGATAATTTGTCAAGTTCTTCTGATTAAATATCATGTTGCTTACAGAATCTTCCTATACCATCTGTTCACCATTTCATTGATCATTTGATCATCTTTTCTTTGACATTTCAGCACTTCATTGAACTTTTCTTTTAAACTGACTTCATAACCCCCTAACCCATCCTTTCTTTTTGTCTTGAGTTACTGATCATGTAAATCAAATCTTTTTTAAAACCCCAAACTCCTAGATTTAACTTTCATCTTCAAACACTATGAATTGCTACATTCTACAATATAGACTTATAATGTAATAGCTGAAAAGATCTGTTGCTGCTATTATTCAATTTAAAATAATGGACTGAATGCATTTTCTGCAGGAGCAGAGATTTCTTTAAGTAACTGTAAAAAATATGTCTTCTGATCTTTATGGGAATGATTTAAGAAAAAAATATAAAACGATATTTAAATAAGTTGACATTAGTTTCCCCAATGGTTGAACAGGTTTTGCAATTTGTATAACTCATGTTTTTTCCCCAGCTCTTGATGTTTTTAGATTCCAGCTAATTTAGTATATAAATAGAATACTTCACATGGCTTTTCCCTTCTCTTTTTGCCTCCACACAGGAGGCAAGTTTCCAAAGGCAAAGCAATTAACGGTACTGTCTGAGGCTAACTTCCCAGGCAATTGCCTCAAACGAGGTTTCAGCCTGAATTTTCCGGGTAATTGCTTTGTTTTGCTGTTAAGGGTGGTTTGGGGGAAGAGTAGCAGAGAGCTGAATCAAAATGCATCCTTTTAATTTCCAAACTTAATAGCAGGGCATGCTAGTAACTGTTGTGTATTTTGAGAGATGAGGTCCCATGGTAACAGTTTTAGGCTGAATGACCAAAATAGTACAGGCACATTAAATATGAAGCATTTCTGTTTATATGTGTAGACATATTAAATTGTCATACCAATGTAAAGGTTTTCCTCTTTTAATAACAATTTCTAACCCCCAAATCAAACATCAGATTTGGTGTAAGGATTAAAAAAATAATACCACCGCCATCACCAGAAACCACTCTCTCAGACTCACAGACTCCATTAGATGAGTCTACGTAGTAAAAATAAAGCCTTTGGATTCAGGTAACTTCGATGTTTACTAATTTTGAAAAGTTATTAAACTTCCAGAAGCCTCAGTTTGCATATCTGCAGAAACGGAAAGAACATTTTGTCCTCATGAGCCAACGGAGGTAACACTGATATAATTACTGGCACACAGGAGGATCCTAATAAGGCCCCA